ACTACTGAGGGACTTGAGACTCCTATTGTTGACACCTCTACCGTTGAGACATCCACTGTTAGTACTTTCATTTAGAATGTACTGCTTGGTCGCCTGGACCAGCGTCGACAGGACATCCCAGATCAGCACAGACGGGCAGTTTCTCGTCAGTGTGATTATTGCGGTCGACCAGGACATCTCAGGGCTACTTGTTGGAAGCTCCATCCAGAGCTTAAGCGGCCTTCTCGCAGCCATACTGTTGTCATTGGTAAGGCACCATCACATATAGTCATTGCTCCTGTTACTACTGCTACTGCTCCTCCTTGGCAGAGTGATATGAATGTTATCACTTCTCTTGGATAGACTTATGTCAGCCTTGACTTCTCGAGGTCCGACTACTACTGCTGCGATTACTACTGGTATACCTCGTGTTTTTCATACTTGCGCCAGTCTGTCTCCCCTTTGGATGCTGGACTCGGGTGCTAATGGTCATATGACGGGTGAGGCTCATCACTTCACCACTTTTGATGAGCAGTTACATACACAGGTTTAACTAGCAGATGGGACACATGCCCCTATTGTTAGTAGGGATACAGTCCGCCTTTCAGATGACTTTACATTACATTTGATTTTTCATACGCCAAAACTGGCCATGAATCTATTATCCGTACATTAATTAGCCAGAGATTTTTACTGTGCGGTTGTATTTGTATCTGATTTGTGTTATTTGCAGGACCTGAGTACCAAGAAGATTATTTTTAGGGGACATGAGAAATATGGATTGTATTATCTAGGCGATCCACCTTCAGTTTCACCAGTTCCTCCTCCTCCATTATCTGCACCTGTTTTGTCTTTATCTGTTCCTAACTTGAATGCTAGTATTTTGCCTAGTACTTATCGTTCTGATTTTTCATCATAAACGGTTCAGTTGTGGCATGACCGTTTTGGACATATAAATTTTAAATATTTATGTATGTTATTTCCTGCTTTGAGCAATGCTTGTGTTGGTGGTAAACATGACTGTGTTATATGTTTCCTATCGAAACATGTTTGGACCAGGTATATTCCTCGCATGCACCAGTCACCCAAGCCATTTGATCTAATACACTCTGATATTTGGGGACCCTCTCCTGTTACTGTTTTGTCAGGTGCTCAATACTATGTGACATTTATAGATGACTATACTCGTTGTACTTGGGTCTACCTTTTGCATAGAAAGTCTGATGTACTCCCAATCATCACTCAGTTTTTTCAGATGATTAAGACACAATTTGATGTCATTGTTCGTGCTCTTCGTTCGGATAATGCCAAAGAATATGTGTTTGATGCCTTAGTGTCTCACCTTTCTTCTTTGGGTATCCTTCAGCAACTCACTTGTCTGTATACTCCTGAGCAAAATAGAGTTGCTGAAAGGAAAAATAGGAGTCTAATAGGGATGGTACGTTGTATGCTTAGAGGTATGGGGGTACCAAAATTTTATTGATATTTTGCTATTTTGACTTCTACCTTTCTGTGTAATCGTACACCAAGTCTTGTTCTTTAGCATAGGGCTCCCTTACAGATCTTATTTCCTGAACAGACACTTTTTTCGGTCCCCCCTCGTGTTTTTGGCTGCACATGTTTTGTTCAGTATCGGTCTCCTACTCGTCATAAGCTTGATAATAAAGCGATTCGTTATGTCCTTGTGGGCTATTGTCATCAGTCTAAGGGGTATCAGTGTTATGATCCTATTAGGTGCCGTATGTATCATAGTCTAGATATTATTTTTTTTGAGCACATTCCTTATTTTTCTTCTATTCCTGTGTCTACCCCTCCAGTTGATGATACTCCCTTTGATTTTTCGTTACCACAGGAATCAGAGTCATTAGTCACTATTACTACAGAGTCATCAGTCTCTCCTCCACCAGAGCCACTCGTCCCTGTCAGTGCAGAGTCACCAGTCTCTCTTTCTTTGTAGGTTTATGTTCGTCGCCCTCGCTCTGATCTCCCTACTGATGTCTCCTCTACCTCAGGCGATGCAGGTAATACTTCTTAGTTTGTTGAGCATATTGATGCACTTGTTGTTAGTACTGATGAGATTACAACAACTGAGCTAGTTATTTTTCCTGATGAGACATTGTCAATGGAGGATGATGATTTAGGGCGTCGTTATCCGCAGCGTGATTGTCGTCCAGTTGTCCGTTATGGTTGGACTGCCAGGACTTTATATCCGATCTCTGCTTATGTTTCTTATGGTGATCTTTCTCCTACATTTCGAGTTTATAGTATAGCCTTATAAGATACGCCGGTTCCTCGCTTTGTTTCAGAGGCTATGCGGGAGCCCCAGTGGATTCTTGCCATGCAGACGGAGATGGACGCTCTTCAGCGTAATCATACGTGGGATCTCATCTCTTTACTTTCAGGGGTGAAGTCTGTTGGATGTCGCTGGGTTTACACCATGAAGTTTCTTGTGGATAGTACTATTGATCGTCACAAGGCTAGGCTTGGGGCGAAGGGCTTTACTCAGGTACCAGGTCGTGATTTTGGTGCTACCTTTGCCCCCGTGGCAAAATTAACTATTGTTCAATTGATTATTTCTTTAGCTGCGGAGTACTCTTGGCCTCTTCATCAGTTGGATGTGAAGAATGCATTTTTTCACGGTGATCTGGATGAGATTATTTATATGAATGCACTACTGGGCTTTTGTGGTGAGGGGGAGTATGTTGGAAAGGTATGTCGACTGCGTAAGTCTCTCTATGGACTGAAATAGTCACCACGAGCCTAATTCTCTCACTTTAGTGATGTAGTTGTACGTTTAGGGTTCACCAGATGTCATTCTGATCATACCTACTTCATTCAACGGGATACTTCTGGACAGTGTGTCATACTTCTGGTATATGTTGATGATATTATTATTAGTGGAGATGGTATTTCTGGGACTATGCAGGTCAAGATAGACCTTGGGAAGGCTTTCGATGTGAAGGATTTTGGATTTTTGCGATACTTTCTTGGGATTTAGGTTGCTCGTAGCAGCAGGGGTATTGTTCTGTCTTAGAGAAAGTATGTTCTGGATCTTCTCTCAAACACTGGGATGTTGGGGTGCAAACCGACATCATCACTCATGATTCCAAACCTAAAGCTTACTGTTGAAGATGAGGAGTTGAGAGATCCGACTGTCTATCAGAGGTTGGTAGGTAGACTAATCTACCTAGCCAACACTAGGCCAGACATTTTATTCGCTGTTAGCCGAGTTAGTCAGTTCATGCACAGGTCGTGTCAACCTCATCTTGATGCAGTTTATCTTATTCTTCGGTACCTCAAGTCTTGTCCTGAACTTGGGTTGTTCTATGCATTAGGATCTCAGACTAGTCCTCTAGCCTGTTATTCAAATTCAGATTATGGGGGAGCATATGACGGTCGATCTACTACGGGCTTCTGTGCTTTTCGAGGGACTCATCTTATCTCTTAGAAGAGCAAGAAGCAGACAGTTGTCTCTCGTTCGTCAACAGAGGCAGAGTATCGGGCACTGGCACTTGACACATGTGAGATTATCTGGCTACGATCGATTCTTAGCGAGTTGGGATTTCCAGTGGCTTCTTCATTTACATTATATTGTGGTAATCGATCTGCTATTCAGCTCGCTTCTGACTCTGTATTACAGGAGAGGACAAAACATATAGAGATCGATTTTCACTTTCCTCGGGAGAAGGTTCGATGTAGTATTGTCACTCCATTGTTTGTGGGGACTAGTGATCAGATTGCGGATGTTTTCACCAAACCTGTCACTCTATCCATTCTTCGGGACTCTGTTGTCAAGCTTGACTTAGTTGATATTTTTGCGCCTAGCTTGAGGGGGAGTGTTGGAGTATAGTCTAGTTTATTAGGGTTTCTTTTCCCTTTTTTACCCTTACTATGATTTTATATTTTGCCTAAACCACAAGGATGTTTTGGTCACTTTGTATTATTATTTGACTATATATATGGGGCTCTACTCTTAGTTTGAGTATTTCTTTTCACTCACATTTATTCCAAGTGTAAACGGGAAAAAAATTGAGGTAAATTTTGCACTATTAGATCGAAGTAAGTGATAGTTGTATCAATAATCTTAACCGTTGTTATGCTTTTATAAGTTGAGAATTAAACTTTTTAGTTGTAATATTTTATAAATCAGTGTGAAGTTTACCCCAATTTGCAAGATGTTTCTTCCTCTTTTCTCCTGCTTTCCTTTCCTCTCCTTCACATTTCGCATTTAACTTATATAAACACACAAATATGTATGCAAAAATATCCTGGGATAATACTCATTGTGTCTACCATGAGGCTGAACCATGGCGTCTAGGAGTTGTATGACTGTTTAAGACTCATAACTTATAAGTCTCTTTCCAGACCAATGAATGAAATGATGTTGAATTTCTTATGGACTTCTCCTGTTGATTGAACAAAACCTTCGGCAGACTAAAATATAAATACTCATAGATCATTTATTTCTTGCTTCACAAGTGGGGTTAACCATCCTAATTTCATGTCTTAGAGCCAATTATGTCAAATGGTTGGGGAAATTTATTGGAGTCTTAGCTCCAGACATGCAAATCTTATATTTTTAATTTCTCACAGCTAATCTGTAAATAGAAGTGACTTAGCAATTGACAGTAGTTGCAAAAGATAGGGAAGCTATGATATTCTTTGAATCAATGGCTGAGTTATTTGAGGTCCATACCTCTAATAGCTTAGAGACATATTAATCACAAAAAGCAAGGTTGAAACTCCATAGTTATTTAGTTAAAGGTCAAATGCTTCTGATAAAGTAAAGTATGTGATTGCATGAGAGTTGAGACAAATGCCACTTTCTCTGTAGTGAGGAGAAAATGCAGTGGCTGGATAGTTGGAATATTTTATTACCCGGAAATTTTCCCTAAATAATTTTTTTCTGACGGAAGGGATTATCAATTTGTTATACAAAACTTGGCTTTTGGAGTGGTAAAATTTATACTTATTAAGTAGTAGAATTTCAACATTTAGTTGGATTTCATTTTGAATTTGCAGTTAGGAATGGCTAGTGCATTGGAAACTTTATGTGGGCAAGCTTATGGTGCAAGGCAATACTACATGCTCGGTGTATATCTTCAAAGGTCCTGGATTGTGTTATTGCTCTGCTCAATTATTCTCACACCTGTATTTATCTTTACAACACCAATTCTAAAAGTTTTGGGCCAGGATGAAGCTATTTCAGAAGTTGCAGGAGTTATTGCATGGTGGTTAATCCCTGTGATGTTCTCATTCATTGTGTCCTTCACATGCCAAATGTTCCTACAAGCACAGAGCAAGAACATGATCATTGCATACTTGGCAGCATTTTCAATTGCAATCCACATTTTTCTCTCCTGGCTTTTGATAGTGAAGTACAAGCTTGGGATTCCTGGGGCGATGATTTCTACTATTTTGGCATTTTGGATCCCCAATGTGGGTCAACTAACTTTTATTCTTTTTGGAGGGTGCCGAGAAACATGGAAAGGTTTTTCATATTTGGCCTTTAAGGATCTGTGGCCAATAATCAAGCTCTCTTTGTCATCTGGTGTCATGCTTTGGTAGGACTTCTCTTATATCTTATAAATTTGTAACTTGTGTTCAAACCAGTGAAGTAGTTTTCTAGTCTTCTTCAAACTTGGAGAAGGATTTATGTTTTGGACTTTGGGTTTAGATTAAGAATAAAGAATCAAAAGCTAATCCTGGAATAGCAATTGTAGGGACGAAATTGGTGCCAACTAGAATTAATTTTGTTTTGCCTAGTTGGTCCCTATGCACTTTGTTTCACGTTTCCAGGTTTCCCTAGCTCTGTAGGTCCCCTAGTACATGCTCGCAGGCCATGTCTGGACCACTAAATTGCTTCCATATTGCTCTACAGTTCATATAGTACAATTTAGCTGTGGTCACATAACATTCAGGTCTAGGATTTCACTGGCTGATTCTGTAGACACATAACATTCAGGTCTGGGATTTCACTGGCTGATTCTGTAGACGACACATACATGAAATTTATGATAACCATCAAATTGTTGTCTTTTCTCATGGTTGTTTTCTATAGGTAAGATCATCTATTTATCACACAGAAAACTAAAGGAGGAATCAGATTGTAATATATCCTTTCTAATGATATTGTTTTCTGTATGTTTTAATTAAACAGAGGCTTTTTTTTATAGAAAAATTGATGGATATCGCTTCGCTTTGCTCACAAAATTAAGGATGTGATATTAGCTTGTGCTTTCCTTGGCAGTTTGGAAGTTTGGTACAACACCGTACTTGTTCTTTTAACAGGGAACATGAAGAATGCCGAGGTTGCCATTGATGCTCTTTCTATTTGGTAGTCATCTTCTTCCTTCCCGCTTTAGTTTTTTTCCACATCCATTTCAATTTAACATTGGCTTCTAGTCACTGAAATGGTCCAAGCATACTGTTTTTTGCAGCCTTAATATCAATGGTTGGGAAATGATGATATCCCTTGGGTTCTTGGCTGCAGCAGGGTACTGCTCTTATTGATGTTCTCTTAATTCCGTTCGCGGCTAATATATTCTCAATTTACATTGCTGCATGATAATGCAGCCTTATAGCCTTTTCATTCAGCATAAACAATCGGATGGTTCCTTTTCTTACTGTTGGTATAAATTCATAATGCCACCTTATCTCTTCAAAGAAGTATACTAATTATTGTGCTTTATTCTCGTTCAATAACTCAGTGTACGGGTCTCAAATGAGCTTGGAAGGGGAAGCTCCAAAGCAGCAAAGTTCTCGATCTTGGTGTCAGTGTTAACATCATTTGCCATTGGATTCATGCTATTTATATTTTTCCTGTTCTTTCGAGGACGTCTAGCTTACATATTCACTGAAAGTCGTGAAGTGGCTATAGAAGTTGCTGATTTATCACCTTTATTGGCTTTTTCCATTCTTCTGAACAGTGTTCAGCCAGTTCTCTCTGGTATGCATTTCCTTACAGTGATATGTTTTGGTCTAGTTTATCAGAGTTTAGAGTTGGACCATTCCTCACTTTTCTGTTTGTACAACACATTAATGACATGAACGAGTGAATCATTGGATGATGGGAAGCAATATGCTATTTATATTTTACTATTTTGTATATATTTCTCTGTTAATGAAAATGACTAGTCAAATATCTGCATCCATATGTAGCATAACGATTTTTTTTACAGGTGTTGCAGTTGGGGCAGGCTGGCAGGGCATTGTAGCATATGTTAATATTGGATGTTATTATTTGATAGGGATCCCTGTCGGAGTTGTACTAGGCTATGTTATCAAAATGCAAGTCAAAGTGAGTTGCATTACTCTTGTTTTTTTCACATTATTTTCATAGTTAAAACCAGAGAAAATGTGTGATGTCTCCTAGTTCAAGGATGAGCTAATGAAGTAAATGCTGTCAGAAGGCTCAAATCAGTTGAATGGAGTCATGGCTTCAGTGTAACAGCTGGAAAATATTTCTTCTGCTATCAATTATCATGCTATATTCTTGATCCTTTTTGGAAAGTTTTTCGCATGCTATCAATTCTCATGCTATGTCCTTGATCCTTTTGAAAGTCTTCCTCATGTCATCATTGCTTTCTTAGTTCTGATTTCCTGCACATTTCATATTTCACATGACCCTTCTGCATTTTTCTGCAGAAAACAAATTGCTTCTGGGAACTGATTATTGTAACAACCTGTTTTGTAGGGTGTTTGGATTGGGATGTTGTTTGGTACGCTCGTTCAAACCGTGGTACTTACCATCATCACTTACAAAACTGACTGGGATGAACAGGTATTGGCAGTCTTCTTTGTTTTTCTTTAGCATTATTTGGAGAAGGTGCTTTAAGAAATTTTTGAGGTGCTTTAAGATATTTACTCAAAAACAGCTTCTTATTGGTATGCATAATAATGCCAGGTGTCCATTGCTCAGCAGCGCATTACCAGGTGGTTTGTAGGATCTGAACAACAGGCTGCAAACCCACAAGGTGCCTGAAATGGAATTTTCTTTCCATTTGCAGGAAAGAGTGAATTCTTGGCTTCATTTTGTCATCATAGTTTATGTTATAACGTGTTTATTGCATTGACGGATGTTATATATGCATGTTGTCTGGATATGTCAAATGGTGTTTGATGGATAGCCAAAAAATGATTGGAGTCGGCTAGGACGGAGGTCAGGTCAAACTTGACAGACAGATTTAATTAGGAAATGGTCATAAACATCTAGAAAACTCAAGACTGCATTCTGTTTGATGTTTTTGAAACTAGACTCATGTATGTGATCTCTGGTAGAACATCTTATTCTCCGAGTGAGTACTGGTGTCGTCTTGAAGATCTCTGAAAATTGAGGACACTCAGATACCCGTTCAACTTTGATAACTTGTAGAGAAACAATGATAGAGGTTTGGTTCCATGGCCTATACAACTAATCGAGATATATATATATATATGCTACTATAAAATATCAATAAAAGTGAAAAACTTTGGATTGATTATAATAACCTTAACAAAGCAACTAATCGATATTATCCTTGCCCATTTAAACACTTAAATTACCCATGTGCGCTACAAAACAAAAAACTTTCATAAGTACATTAACTTTGGACTCCAAGTGGCTTTGGTCAAAATCAATGGACCTTGTTGACCATTAAAATTATATACATAACCTCTTTATAGTTGTGTACCAAAGTAAGACTGTTATTTTTTTCATACAAGTTGATAGAGGGTGTCACTCACTCGGTGAAAACGATGGTGTGGGCTTTGTTTGCAAGGTTTTCCTCCAAAATAACACTTTCTTGTACCTAAAATGCTCATTACAGGCTATATTATAATCCCCATTTCAGCATTTTGTTGTCCAACACATTCACATTGACAGAAGAGAAAAAAAGGGAGTTGCCAATTTTCGGCCATTATTCAAGTATATGCTTTTATAATACATCGTGTTTTTTTTAATAATTTCTTAACTTTTAGCTAATTGGTACCTATTTTTTGACCTTATAATGAAGATGCTGGGTTTTTTCCCCCTTCAATTTCTATTTTTGGGCAGAGTCTCCGTGACCATTAATGTGGGTCAAACCGGAGGTGCAACAGGAAATGGAGATGGGGATAGGGAGAAAATTGACCTTAAGTATGATTATGAAGCAACACGATGTTTCTTTAAAATGAGAGCATCTATTAGAGTTGTTAAAACAGAGAGGCCAAGTAAGGGTCGGTCGTATTTCGTGTGTGAAAAGAAGGAATGCAAATTCTGAGCCCCACCAACATTTCCCCATCTGCAGATACTACTTGTATAGGATCTTGCCCCTTATTCATATGTACAACCACCACATCAAATCCTCTGTAAGCATGGAGCATGTTCATTACCTCAAAATATCCACCATGATGGAATTGAATAGAAAAACAAGAATCCATTATAGATGTGATTGAACATTTTCGAAATACTCTAAGATGAAGACACGTGTCCTCGGTGTCACTAATCTTTGTTACTGAGATCACGTACCCATCGGTTCACAAGTCCCTCTCCCCCGAGGTACTTGTCATAGGGATCAAGTGGCATCCAGTACGGTTACGTACCGACACGTATCCCTCGGTCTGATATGGGTACATCGGTCGCTATATGTACCTCCCCTCTCGGCTCCGAGATGTACCAATCCCCCTCGGTACCGATATGTACCAACGTCCAGGATGACATTCACTTCTCTTGCAGAGCTACTGATGTACATGTCATTAGCCTAGGTTAGGCTAGGTTAGCTATCATGACCTCGTCTTACACAATTGGTGTAATAAAGCATATGAAGGCAGGGGCCACAGCCAATGGGGAATGGACGTGTGACATATTGTGTCACATCAGAGACAGAAAGACCGCATGCCCTTACTGACACACGACTTGGGAAAGCAAGCATTTAATTACACCATTCCCTTGATGAGACTGCATTCAATGCGGTAAAAGCTCGGAAGTGAAAGACAATAAATGTCTCTAAGGCTGGACATTTATTGCATCATTCCCGAGAGGAGCTCATTGAACAGTCGACAGACCGATGACACAGCCTTGGTTGCTCGGGATCCCGAGCAGTTAAAAGAGAAGACATTCCTCGTAGGAATCAGTGCGCACGTTGCCTGTATCTAATGATCACCTACTGACCACACTGATAGCAATCATGAGTATTTAAGGTATAAATACTCCTCGCAAAAGGCAAGGTGGTATGCAACGAAAAACCTTTGCTACAATATATACTCAGTGTTTTATTCTTCCTCTCTTTCAAAAACTGACTTGATTGTCGGAGGGGATACGCCGAAAAATACTCCGGCGCCCTTCTAACTTGTTTTTCTTTGTTCCAGGAACCTTCCTCAGCCTTACTGGATCGTTACATTGATCCACGAGGGTCTCCCATTACCATTTCAGGTTACCACCCGACCTCACAGGCTGTTCCAAGCAGTAGGGTTGACCATTCGACTGACTCACTCGAGTTCACCAAGGGAGAGATCTGTTCTCGTGTTTATATTGTGCAAGATCTAGCACGCACAATCTGGCGCCGTCTATGGGAAACGATTAGTTTTCCTAGTTTCTTCTCTATAAAGAACAGTGATCATGGTGAATACTCGACAAAAAAGGAAAGGTCCCTAGCAAAGAAGTCTCGAATTACAAGCTCCATGTCACCATGGAGGGAGGGATCACACTGATGGGAATAAAAATGCCTCTATTCAGTCAAGAGGGGTTACCCCTCAAACCAGTATGGGAATCTGGTCAGGAGGATCAGCCCCCTTGGCTTGTCAGCTGGTGGAGGTGATCGAAGAAAAGTTTGGGGATTGATTATGACAGTTGGAAAAGGACAATGTAAACGTCCTAAGCCGGCTCAACGAATTCGCCGCCTCCGGCGAAGGGTCGAGGGACTCATTCCTTTCTCGTGGGCTCTCCGCTCGGAAGGCGAAAACGAAGGATCTAAGGAATCATCTAAACAACAAGGCAAAAAGCTCCAGGGCCCCAAAGTGACCGAGAGCCAACGAGCACCCTCTTAACGACCATTCCAGGAAGGCAAGGCCTTTAGCCCTAGACGACCTCCGACGAGGATTGTCGAGACGGAGGAAGAGAGACGAGTCCGAGGAGGATTCAACCCTATCCACACGGTGCCTAGGAAATGGGGGGCCTATTGATGAACTCAAGGATTTTAGAAGACATCCCATTGGGGAGGAAATTGATCTTAGAGCCCGGTTGAAATCTAGGAGAAAGAGTAAGGCTGTCCAGGATGAGGTTGAAGACGAGGTCATACAAACACCCTTCACCAGGGAGATCGGAGAGATGGAGGTTCCAAGAAAGTTCGTCGTGCCGAGGTTCAAAACTTATGACGGGCGGTCCGATCCCGAATCCCATCTCAGGCAATACAAGCAAATGATGTCCCTATATCATTCAGACCAACGGTTCTTCTACCGAGTGTTTCCTATGAGCTTGGGGGACTCTGTGATGAAGTGGTTCGAGGCGCTTCCCCCAATAGCATTGGACCATGGAAGGAATTGACGAGGCAGTTCCTGGCTCGATTCATTACGGGGAGTAAGCGGCCTAAAGACGTTGGATCATTGCTAACGCTCAGATGTAGGGAATCCGACCAGTACATCATCCGGTACTGGGAAGAGGTTAATGAGGTAGAAGGCTGCTCGGAAGTCATGGCAGCGGCGTCTTTCAGGCTCGGCTTGGCAAGGGACACGGACCTGTACCGATCCCTGACCAAGAAAACTCCCTCAGATATGGGCGAGCTGATGGCCTGAATAAACAAGTACTCAAGGATCGAGGACGAGATGGGAAGCAGCAAAGGCCGAACCCTCCAATCTAAGAGAAAAGAGAGGGAGCGGGAGGATACTCCCCGAAAGGGACTGCTACCCCCTCCGGGGGGTCGTCCAAAGGAGTTTACACTATGTTCAAGGAACCCATCTTCAAGTTGCTCCATAAGATCAAGTATGAGCCGTTCTTCAAGTGGCCGCCCAGGATGCAGAGCAATCCCTCCACCCGTGATCAAAAGGTTAGGTGTTCCTATCACCGGGATTTCGGACATCGCACCGAAGCTGCAGGGTATATAAATCGTTCTTGGAAAGATTGGTCCGAGACGGATACTTGAAAGAATACATAGAGTACCAATCCCATCATTGGGCGCGAAGCACAAAAAAGGCGCATTTAATGCGCACGACGTCCTAAGCAGGGGAAAACGGCTAGGGGCAATGAAGAAACAGTTGGGGTTGTTTCAAAACCCTTCGTCTCCTTACAACGGGTGTCCTCGGTGTCAGAAGATCGAAGGCTGGGGGGCAGTTGATGGGACATTTCTGAAATATTCTAAGATGAAGACACGTGTCGTCGGTGTCACTAATCCTTGTTACTGAGATCACGTACCCATCGGTTCACAAGTCCTTCTCCCCCGAGGTACTTGTCATAGGGATCAAGTGACATCCAGTACGGTTACATACCGACACGTATCCCTCGGTCTGATATGGGTACATCGGTCGCTATATGTACCTCCCCTCTCGGCTCCGAGATGCACCAATCCCCCTCGGTACCGATATGTACCAACGTCCAGGATGACATTCTCTTCTCCTGCAGAGCTACTGATGTACAGGTCATTAGTCTAGGCTAGGCTAGGTTAGCTATCATGACCTCGTCTTACACAATTGGTGTTAGAAGGCACAAGAAGGCAGCGGCCACAGCCAATGGGGAATGGACGTGTGACATATTGTGTCACATTAGAGATAGAAAGACCGCATGCCTTTACTGACACACGACTTGAGAAAGCCAGCATTTAATTACACCATTCCCTTGATGAGACTACATTCAATGCGGTAAGGCTCATAAGTGAAAGACAATAAATGTCTCTAAGGTTGAACATTTATTGCATCCTCCCCGAGAGGAGCTCATTGAACAGTCGGCAGGTCGATGACACAGCCTTGGTTGCTCGGGATCCCGAGCAGTTAAAAGAGAAGACATTCCTCGTAGGAATCAGTGCGCACGTTGCCTGTATCTAATGATCACCTACTGACCACACTGACAGCAATCATGAGTATTTGAGGTATAAATACTCCTCGCAAAAGGCAAGGTGGTATGCAACGAAAAACCTTTGCTACAATATATACTCAGTGTTTTATTCTTCCTTTCTCTCAAAAACTGACTTGATCGTCGGAGAGGATACGCCGAAAAACACTCCGGCGCCCTTCTAACTTGTTTTTCTTTGTTCTAGGAACCTTCCTCAGCCTTACTGGATCGTTACATTGATTCACGAGGGTCTCCCATTACCGTTCCAGGTTACCACCGGACCTCACAGGCTGTTCCAAGCAGCAGGGTTGACCATTCGACTAACTCACTCGAGTTCACCAAAAGAGAGATCTGTTCTCGTGTTTATATTGTGCAAGATCTAGTACGCA